GCCTACTCAGTGGTCTAGAGGTTAAGCGCTCGCGCACGAGACTGATGGGTTCTGTGTTGGAATCTCGCGAGACGGGATCATGGATGCACACTGCTGAATTTGGCTTACCTGTAATAAGAAACTGAACGAAATTCAGATTGAATTTATTGAAAAAATATTGATCTGAAATGATGTCACCTTTTTTTATCTCCTCATAAAAGAAATAGTGAAACTACCTATTCAAGACAAAATCCTCATTTTGTACTTTGTTTCTCAATTTTATAGGAACAGTGGTCGGCAACGAAAGCAAAAGAGATGGAAAAGGCAGCGGCTGTAGGCAACACCAGTCAACTATTCAGACTAATAAAAGAAACCGGAATTAAGAAGTCAAGTGTAAGGGAGACAGTCTCGGAAAAAGACTGAACCCTTATCTGCTCTCAACCCAAACGTTTAGAACGAAGGGCGGAACACTTTAAGGAGCAGTTTAGCTGGCCTTCAGCTACTACACAACTACCCACTATTCCCAGAAAACTTGAATGGAACATTGAAGTAGGCCCCCCGACCCTACTTGAAGTTCAAAAGGCTATAAGTAATCTGAAACGAGGAAGAGCAGCTGGTCCAGATGTATTTGCTCCAGAGGTCTTTAAATATGGTGGTCCAATTTTAGCGACTAGGTTGACTAATATTCTTGCCAAAATCTGGGAGACGGATGTAATCCAATCTGACTGGTCACAATCACTGATTGTCCCAATATATAAGAAGGGGTCCAAATCATCATTCGATAACCATAGAGGGATTAGTCTGACTAACATAGGATCTAAAATACTAGCCTCAATAATTATCGGCGCCTAACTAAGACTCGTGGACTGCAAACACGAGAAAATCAGGCTGGCTTCAGACCTGGTCGTGGCTGTATCGACCACATATTCACCATTCGTCAAGTTTTAGAGCACAGACATGCTTATCAGCGTCCAACAGTGATAGTTCTTCTTGACTGGAAAGCAGCATTTGACTTTGTAGACCGAGAGGTTCTGTGGCAGTGTCTGTCATTGAAAGGTGTACCTCAGTAGTACATAAACCTTGTGAGGGCTCTTTACTTGAACACTACCAGTTGAGTGAGAGCTTATGGCGAACTGTCATCTGATTTTACAACCTCAAGTGGTGTCCGTCAAGGTTGTCCACTATCCCCATTTTTGTTTAACTTCATTATAGACCTATTGCTGGAAATAACACTCTCTTCGACTGAATTTTCAGGAATTGATCTTCTACCAGGGGGACCACTAAGCGACTTAGAATACGCAGATGACATAGTCCTGTTTGGTGAAGACGCTGACGAAATGCAGAATCTTCTGTTGGAACTCAGTAATAATGCCAGGATGTTTGGGATGCGTTTCTCCCCATACAAATGTAAATTGTTACTCCAGGACTGGCCTGCGTCAACACCTAGACTAAGGATAGTGAGTGAAGTAGTCGAACGCGTCGACAACTTCACTCATCTTGGAAGTCTGATCAGTCCTAATGGGTTGGTGTCTGACGAAATCTCAGCACGGACTCAAAAAGCTCGTTTGGCTTTTGCCAACTTACGTCACCTATGGCGAAGACGAGATATCCGTCTATCAATTAAGGGACGAGTATACTGCGCAGCAGTTCGCTCTGTTCTACTTTACGACTGTGAAACATGGCCATTAAGAGTAGAAGATACTCGTAGGTTACTAATATTTGATCACAGATGTTTTAGAAATATTGCTCGCACCTGCTGGGATAACCGGGTAAGTAATAGTGAGGTTAGACGCAGGGTATTAGGGAACGATGGTAAATCAGTTGATGAGGTGATGAATCTTCATCGACTGAGATGGTTGGGCCATGTGTTACGTATGCCTGAACACCGATTACCACGACGCGCTATGATGACTAGTATTGGGGATGGTTGGAAGAGAGTTAGGGGCGGCCAAACCAAAACATGGCATCAGTGCTTGAAGTCACTAACTTCTAGTCTGAGCCATGTTGGCAGATGCAGAATACCTGGTTGGGGTCCGCGTGACTATCGTAACCAATGGTTAGAGACTCTAGGTGACATGGCTCAGAATCGATCACAATGGTGTAGGTGTATACACTCTTTATCCTCCCTTAAACCTTGAGACTAAAATTGCTTCATATCTCCCTTCCTGTACTATATCTTTATATATAACCTACCTTTTACATACTACCACCACTAAATTAACTACTATGAATCCGGTGTTGATCTTGTTGTACTAACGAGGTATGGCAACTTGGACCGATGCATATATGTGCCTGGTCCTACGTTGTAGCTGACTGACTGACTCAATTTTATTGGTTATTATGAATATTAAAAAGATATCCACGAAGTTTGAGCAACCGTTCGCTAATTGTCTTCAGTGAGTTGTTATCTCACAACAGACGTGGTTGAACTCCACTAATCACTGCTTCTCACTAGAACTCCAGGAAATATATCTTGAAGTCAGTCATTATTGAGCATATGATTATAACCAGAAGGGGTTTTGTGGAGATTTCAGTATTTCCATAGTTGAAATCATTATTCAGTTGAAGCGAGAATGGTAGGTCCTGGGTTCGAATCTCGTGAGGCGGGGTCGTGGATGCGCACTGCTGTGGAGTCCCACATTAGAACGAAACGGCAGTCTAGTGCTTCCAGGTTTTCCATGGTGGTCTAGTTTCAATTGACTCATGATTCCAACCATGGAAATACTGAAATCTCCACAAAACCTCTTCTGATTATAAAGATATGTTTAGCGAAGAAATATTTCTTTTCAATTAGTTCTTCATCAAGGCTCTATACCAAAGTATATGTTTTATAATTGAGTAAACAGTTGATACCTATTACATGCTGGTAAGTCAGTTTAACAAAACAATCATCAGTTAGATGAAGTTTGGAAAATTAAAATTAAGATGAAAACCATAGTGAATTTTTATAATCCGTTAATCTTTACAAGTATTTACATAATTAAAATAGGATGTAAATATGTAAATGTTTTTGGTTATTTATAAAATTGCTGAAAAGTAATTAGTAGGATGGATTCAGTGAAAATTAGATAATATGATCAATAAATACTTTATGTAAGATTGGAATTATGAATTAAAATGTTAATGAAATAGGAGTTCGGAAAATGTTTTAAGTGAAGGGAAAGAATGGTTTTGAAACATGTAAGTAGAAAGCCAGGGTAGATTCAAAGGTTGTATAAATTTTCTCTGTGTACAAATGTTAGGTTTTCGATATATATATATATATATATATATATATATATATATAGCTTCGGCTACATGTAAGAGCTAGATTCTAGAACTGTAGGGTAAATTCGGTGAGATTTTATTGATAACTTCGAACGCTGAAGTTCTATCTATTTGGTGACCAGTATAGAAGAGGAATATAATACAAACTAAATATTAACCAAAATAAGACTAATAACGAAAAAAACTAAAACTAAAAAAGTGGACTACCAGGGTAGTAATAAGTTGATCACTGTCTCTTTTTGAATACATAGATCCAGTTTAAGTTTTTTTATCGCGGTCGCTTCAGAAAACCGGAGAGCAGTCGTAATTCTTTGTCTGCTAATAATTTTGAAAGCATGAGAAATATCAATGGTGTGCCCGGTGTCAAGTACTATGAAAGTATAAAATCCTCAGGGTTTTATAATATAATTACTGTTTGTTAGACTATCTAAATTTATTCTACGAAAAACACCATTTAAATTTTTGTTGTGACATACATTAGCATACGTTTTGATTTTATTGCACATTGTTATCACAACAGAGAACTGCTATAGATCTTATCGTTGTATTCAATAAGAGTTTGTGGTTAATCCATAACTGCTTTATTAAAAGTGATAAATTAAACATTTCGATCCTTTCTTCTTTTTCTTCCTCCACTTTTTTCAAATTAATTGTAGTTACAGTTGAGTGAGTTGAATATATACAATCAGTTTATATAATATTTGTTATATTACTCGATAATATAATCTAAAATATTTTAGAAATATTACTTCAAAGAATTCTTATCAGAAGGAATTTTTTGTGGAGATTTAGTATTTTCATAGTTGAAAGCGTGAATCAATTGAAGCTAGACCACCAGGGAAAACCTGGAAGCACTAGACGGTCGTTTCGTCCTATTGTGGGACTTCACAGCAATGCGCATCCACATAAACGCCATCGGATGCGGGCTCAGTGGTCTATCGGTTAAGTGCTCTGGCGCGAGACTGGTATGTCCTGAGTTCGAATCTCGCGAGGTGAGGTCGTGAATGTTCACTGCTGAGGAGTCCAAAGAATTATCAAAAACTGGTTAAATTCCAAGCAACCTATTTGTTATTACCAATTTTCAAATTGGAGATAAATTTTTCATCTTGAATATAGTTGAAGAGAAGACAAAGGAATTCACCGTATTTAGCCAATATTGTCATCCTTGCATTGTTTAAAGATAGAACTCAGTTAATTATTTCGTAAATATCACTGAAAACATTCTGGAAGTTATATATATTGAGAATAAAATGATTTTACAAAATTTCTAGTTATACAATCTTAAACTACTAGTCTTGCATAGTTTAATTTTGTTAGAAATGCCCTCGCTCCCACCCATCTCTTGAAAGAAGAAGAAACTACAATTCATTTCATTATGATAATATTCTTAGAAATTTGGCCAAGTTATATTTGCCCTTTCATTTTGTACATACATGATAATCACATGATATATTTTGTCATTAAACAGGTCAATTTTTAATAAAATCTAAACTACGTATAATAAACATAATTTGGTTTATATCTATTCAGTGAATTGAATCTATGTATGTATATATATATATTACTTATCATTTTCCATCTTTACCGTTATACATACTGATTGTCAAATGTAGAACAATATAGGACTGTATAGATATATGTAATGTACTGTAATCTATCCAGTATTATAATTATTATTATTCATAAATGATTGGTTCATAACTGGTTAATTAATAATTAACTTTTCATCCATATTATAAATTTCATTTTAGATTTAATCACTAAATACACAAATAGTATAGTACAATTGAAATTGGATTCACTGACATAAGTGTTAACTTTATCCTATAAATAAATAAATATATATATATATATATATGCAGGTTTTGTTTTAAACAAAATGGAGTCATTTTATACTATAAATGTAATGAATTACATATCCATTTTACGTATAGTAACCATCTAATGATATAGTCAATATAACTTTACATAGTTACAATTTTGCATAGAATAATAATCATACTATACTATTACTATCATTAACTACTACTTATACTGCTAATTTATCATAGAAAAAAAAGGAATTTATATATCTATTTTTATGTAGTAATAATATCAATCTGAATGAAATTCATTGGATTAAAATTAGTTTTTAATTTATTTTGGAATTTATATAAATTAAAAAAAATTATTTTTTTATTAATTCATTTAATTTTATTTAATAATGAAGAAATTTTAGGATCAGGTTATAATATATCATTAAAATATTATCATCCATATTCAAGATGGGTAAGTTTTTAAATGTTTTGATATTATATATTTATTTTGTTTAATTTTTTTTGGGGGGGGAAGGGGGAGGGGTTTAAAGGTAGTTATTTTGTTTCTAAATGGATTAATCTTTTATATAATAACATATATATTCTGAAAATAATAATTACAGAATTCACACCAGTTTACAGGCATGATCAATTTCATATAAATAGCAACATTTAATGTAGAGAACAAACATGAGATATAAAATTGTTTTATGTTTGCTGGTACAGTAATTGTTAAGTAGTTTATTTATGACATGTATCACGGCAAGCCAATGCATCACCAAGGAACTTTTAATTTTTTCTTAAGTGGATAGCCTGATGATTTATGAACGTTGTTCTTTTGAGGTTATTTCCAGGTGCCAGAATGAGTTAGTAATAATTATCTACAACTAGAGAAAGTACGATTAAATCAGAGAGCACAGAACAATAAAACAATCCCAAAATATACTAGTTGGGTTTACCACTGTTCATGTTAGATATTATTCAAACGAGTTAGAGTTGCTAGTGACAATGGCAATGCAAAGTGACATCAAGTAAGTGGTTAAACATTTAAAGTTACTATATTCTCACTTGTGGAGTAAGATAAACTTACAGGCGCTAGAGCATTTAATGCATTTTCAGAGGAGTAGTATGCAAAATAGTTTCTCAATAATGTTTCCTTCTTCAAGATTAGTATAGTTTAAATGAATAGGTGTTGAAATTAATTTGAGCATTTGAAAATTAGAACAAAACATCTATTCACTATCCAATTTAACAAGGAATCTACTTTCTTTTTCTATATCCTTCAAGACTATTCATAGATTTTTTAAAAATTTGGTTCTTTCTTTATTGAAGCAGTTTTAAATCTAAATAAAATTATTCCATTTTACAATGAAGAGAAAAACAAGACTTTCAAATATAAGTAGTAATGAACTAATATCATAGAATTAAATAGGAATAATATGTTTGTAAAATCTAAGCGGATGAATTTGCAGTAATATAATTCCTTGAAAAAGCTTGGATCAGATTGCCAGGCGAAACGTTGGATTTAATGCGAATTCATCCGCTGAGATTTTACAAGTATATTATTCCTATTTAATGTCTTACATCAACTCGGCTCTCAGATACTGTGAAACTATTCGCTCTAATTTAGACGAAACTTCCTATATAATATCATAGAATATTTAATTGTTTAAATACTTTCTGAATAATAAGGAATTCGAGCCAACAATTCAAGTGTTTGTGTTCATAAGAAATTTATAACACCCTTATCTCTCCCTTGGCCATAATAAATGATTTTATTCATTATTATTTTCCATACTCTTTCTTCGTTTACTTTTCTTCACCCCTTCCTACGATTTTTTTTCCTAAATATACGTTTCACGGTACAATTATCTGAACATTTCATATTATGTAATCTTTTCGAATGTTATTTCAGTGTCTATATTTTTCTAATCATTGTTCCATTTCTCATTATGTAACATTGATTCAAGCCTTTATTATTCTTATCACAACTAGTACACCTGTCATCACTCTACCAATTTGTACTTTTCACTGATTATGTTTAGTTATGTAATCTATTCCACTGTTATCATTGACTCCTAAACTGACTTGATTGGTTTAATAATTTCGTAAATGCATATAAATATTACAGTATATTAAAGTAAAAGCTGATGAGGATCTAATCGTAAACAATATTGTTTGCTTATATATGTTGTTCTAAATGCTAGTTCTGTATGTTATGACATTTTCATGGTTTAGTTTGATATTCTTTGAAATTCGATCCAATTTGAAATGAATTTCCATTACGGAATGATAAAAAAATGAGAAATTTTTGAATATCAGATGATGCTACACAACAATTTTATTTGAAATGAGGAATTCTCTGGTACTTAAGCAAAATTCATTTCTACTTTTAACTTATTGTAATTTTATCGTATATATTTTTACTCCAGGGAAAGAAATAGCATATTTCATTATGTAAGATGTATTTATTAGCGTTTTTCGTTGTATAGAAGTATTTATAAATACATAAGTTAAACATTAACACCATTGGAAGCCGGCTCAGTGGTTCTAGAGGTTAAGCGCTCACGCACGAGATCAATAGGTCCTGGGTTGGAATCTCGTGAGAGGGGATCATGGATGCGCACTACGGAGGAGTCCCACAATAGGACGAAACAGCCTTCTAGTGCTTCCAGATTTTCCATGGTGATCTAGCTTCAATTGACTCATGATTTCAACTATAAAATAAGTAACTATAAAAGGATTAGTAAGTATTACACAATAATTATTTATGTATTAGTCAAGTTCTTCATAATCAGATCCTGAGACATCTGATAACTTATGAAAGTTTTGTAAACCAAACTATATATATGTAAGCGGTATGGTAACTAAGGAATATCTAAAGCATAATTGTATTACACAATATGATAAGAAAACGTTCGCTGGTCAAAGTTTAGTAATGAGAAGTATAAAATTTGGGATAATTTAAGTAAAGCTTAATCATACATAAAAATTTTCAACACGGAATTAGATTTATTGGTTACTTTAAAAAAATATACGTAAAAAAACCGGATTATTTTTCAACACCAAGGCCAAGTTTATCCATGTTAGTTATTATGCCTACTTGAAACTGATTAGTGATTATGTATTGCATAAATGTAATGCTATACATTTTATAATTAATATACAATACAAATTACTATTGTTTTATCCATATAGATGTAGGATCATCGGGATGTATTTGAGCAAATATTAAGGTGTCTCTCTTACCCTTTTTTAAACCAACTTTCTTGACACGTACATATTAGTTACTCAATGAATTTACAGATTATATGTAACTGTTATTTGCTTGTCTTGTATTATTAAATCGTTGTTTATAATGACGTAAGGGTATGTTTAACTTATTGAGTATAATGTTGTCTGTAAGTTTTGACAGTTAAACATCTTTATTTCAGCTTAGTACTTAGGTTTATTACCTGAATACAAGTTGTTGTACACTGAATTTGATGTGCCCTTGAATCAGTAATATTCTAACATTGTTTAAATTCATTCAAAAGATACATATGTATAAAATTGTAGTCAAATGTTTCTGAAATAAATATGTCAGGTACTTTCTTTGCTCTTAATTTATTCAGTTTCTAATTGAACAGGACTGAAAGGGGATATATATCAGGTAACAGTATTAAACACTGTAATTGATTTGTCATAATATCTCAATGTCATGAAAACTTTGAATGAATTATTGAAATATATTGGGGAAATTTTAAAGAAGTTTAAAATATAACTTATTATCAGTCTAATGCTGACTGAGCAGGTAGGTTTATAAGATCGTATTAGAAACCTGAAACCCATTTACGATTCTTACTTACTTACTTACTTACTTACTTACGCCTGTTACCCCTCGTCGAGGAGCATAGGCCGCTCACCAGCATTCTCCATCCAACACTGTCCTGGGCAGTCCTTTCCAGTTCTTTCCAGTTACTATTCAGCCTTTTCATATCGGCTTCTATTTCCCGGCGTAGTGTGTTCTTTGGCCTTCCTCTTTTCCGCTTCTCTTCCGGATTCCAAATTAGGGATTGAGTCGTGATGCACATTGGTGATTTCCTTAATGTATGTCCGATCCACTTCCAACGTCTTTTCCTAATTTCCTCTTCAGCTGGAAGCTTGTTTTTCCTCTCCAATAAAACTCTGTTGCTGATAGTATCCGGCCACTGAATGTTAAATATTTCGCGTAAACAACTGTTTATAAATACTCGTACCTTCTTGACGATGGACTTTGTACTAGTTCTCCACGTTTCAGCTCCATACAGTAGGACTGTCTTGACGTTCGTATTGAAGATTCTCACTTTGAATTTAGTTGACAGTTGTTTTGAGTCCTATATGTTCTTCGATTGTAAAAATGCTGCCTTTGCTTTGCCGATCCTCGCCTTTACATCTGCATCCGATCCTCCTTGTTTATCAACGGTACTCTCCAGGTACTTGAATGTTTCCATCTCTTCCAGGGTTTCGCCATCAAGTGTGATTGGATTAGTGTTCTCCGTGTTGCATTTGAGAATGTTGCTTTTTCCTTTGTGAATGTGGAGGCCTATCGATTCGGAGGCTGCTGCTACATTTGCTGTCTTCATCTGCATTTGGTCGTGTGCATGAGAGGAGGGCTAGGTCATCTGCGAAGTCCAAATCATCTAATTGATTCTGAGCTGTCCATTGTATTCCGTATTTCCCTCCAGATGTCGAATTCTTCATAATCCAGTCAATCACTAGAAGGAAGAGAAATGGGGAGAGTAGACAGCCTTGTCTGAACTCCGCCTGTAGCTCTTCTAGAGTTACTGCCGGTCCCAAGCCCGGGTAAAGGGGGAGGGTTGGGCATGGGGTTAGCGACCCCATCCCGTAGAAAAGCTAACTCGCTAAAAAAACGCTATTTACGATTCGGTCAACATTTAAGTTACATATCATATTGACTAATTAGAATACGCAGACTTGTTTCAGATCAGTTTCCTATTTTTTGTGTGTGACTAGTTAAAAGAATATTCGTATATTCTGCTTTCAAAGGTTACCTAGTTGTGTTCCACTCGTAGTAGTATCCATAGTATCAAGTAACAAACTGACATGTGTAATTCACTCCAATTACTTAAGATATCCTGGTTTTAGAGTCAAAAGCATCCGTATTTAAGTTATTATTAATAAAGTTCACATTTGATAGAATAATTATGATTTTCAGACAATCCTAAAAGATAACATTCTCCTTAAGACCTGAAAATCTTACATATGATTCCTTTGTCAACTTGTTACTATGACCTACGACTAAGTTAATGAACAACAGTTTTTTTTAGTAGCTCTCCAAAGGATACATTCTTCTTTTAATGTCTACTTTGAAAGTTTAATCTACCCTAAACATATTGACAATTCATTGTTTTAAAAGAATTAAAATATTTTGTAGATTAGTATTGTTTTGAATTATTTGGTAACTATTTTGTAAATATTAACTTTTTGATG